GAAAAGGAAACGTCTGTAACCTAAGAACTGGCTTCTGCCGCCAACAGGGGAAGGAACTGCACCAGAAAGGGAAGTAAAAGTGGGAATCGAATGTGCAGCATCACCATGTGAAGAGCCTGTGCTTCTGGCGCCTGCTGCAGTCTCTCATTTTCTGCCAAAAGCTACAAGGCAGGTGGCGAACACTTGGCATGAAATTCCCTGCAGCAGCTGCAGCGCGCACAGAGGGCCCAGCTTGCGGAAAGAATCGCGCTTTGGACAAAATGCCAAAGCGTGGCAAATCAAGGGATTCACAGTCACCTGCAAACTCTGATCCTTAATGTTGTTTGTTTGTTTGTTTGTTTGTTGTCCATCCAGTAGGGAAGATAGGAAAAAAACATACAGAACTTGGCATTTAATCTAGTCTTAGGTAAACAGCTCTGCTACATCTCTTTAATTACAGCATAAAAACATTCTGCTAGTAAAGCATATTCCTTGGGCTCATAGCTGAAATCTGGACTGCCTGCAGTACTGGATATTCCCTGTAAGAAGTTCAGAGGTGGGGAAGTCAAATTCAAAAGCTGAATCTTTAGACAGGGCCAAAGTTTCTTATCTACAGGGACTCTCCTTTCTAGAGCTAACATTGCACAAGAAATTGGGTGCAGGTTTGCTATGGTCACAGGAATTCATCTCTCTGATGAAGCTCTTAGAGCTTCTTTGGATTGCATGTAACCTCCTCTGCGCTGAATCCTAGAAACTACTGCCGGGTTTCCAATCTTGTCCTGATTGCAGGCCAGTTCTCTCTTGAACCACAATGTGAGGAGGGTAAAAAAGACCAGTTGCCAGCAGCAACTACGTAGCAGCAACCTCAAGGAACACTTTTCACTGCCATCATCTGCAGCAGTTCCCTCCGCATGGACAGTAGATGAGTCTCGGTGCATTGCTGGTGAGTTGGGCCCTCTCCTCCAAGCTCAGCCTTCCCACCGTCATCAGCCCAACGGCTTGAGAGAAAAGCACTCAAAGCAGGTTGACCCTGAAGAGAGATGCAACTCCTGACTGCACTGGATGTGGCAGCTGCTGGAGGCCCAAGCCCCTCTGCCACCATCATGGTGAGTGGTTACGTTTACAATCACTGAAAGGAGGAAAACTCTTGACCAGCTCCAACTGGCCATGTTGGGAATCCCAGATTAGGTAAGCCGTATGAGGACTGGGCGCACCACACAGTGTACTGGCTTCAGAATTAAGGTGTCATTTCCATTAGAGTAGCTCAGTCGTCTCTCTCTCTGGGACGTTACCTTTAGAAAGCATCCAAAAATCAAGTCCAGCTTCATTCGGGGAAGCAGTGGCCAAAGCAGAAGAATGTTCAGTAACTGAAGGTGCCCAATCATCCTTAGGGGCAACACTGCTCCCTCCTACTGCCTGGGAAGGAGTTGAAGCAACTGTCAGGCCTGCTCTTCTCCCTCATTGGAAACATGCCGGTAGCCGGGGGGCTGAGACTGTATGCGGAAGAGTACAGTCAAGAGGAGGATTATAAGGAGAAGGAGAATGGATCCACACACAGCCAGACCCACAAACAGTTCTGCAGGGGAGAAAAGAAGTGGTCAACATGGTATTGTCCAAGCTTTCCCCTTCTGCCATGCTCTGGTCCAGCCTGGGCTCACCTGTGTCGTGTACGCTGCTTGCTACCTGGCATTCTTGCTCCCAGTCCTGGGGAACAACAGGATCTGTGAGTTCCAAGAATCTTTGCAGTGGGCATTTATGCTGACAGCCAGGGATTGTCAGTGGGAAAGGTTCCCTCCCACTCTCATTCCGGAAAAACATCTCCACAGAGAAGTCACTGAAAGAAAAACACAGCTAGATGTTTGTTTTTTTTTTTTTTTCTCTAAAGTCATCCCTTCCCAAAAACTCAGTGTGCACACCCTTTCCTTTATTCTGGTGGTAGTTTTCCTCCTGAGAGTCTGCCACTAGGAGCAAGATTGCATCCCCCTAGGGTGGAGCCTAGCCTAGTTATCTAACCCTTGAGGTGAAATCACAGCAGACGTCTTTACTGCAGCCCTCACCCATCATCCTCTTGGTACAGCTCAAATAAATGACATGAGGCGTATGGTGCTTGAATCTTGTTGTAGACATCTAGAGCCATCTGCAGTGCCACAAGTGTGGTGTCATGCTGAGAAAGAGGGAAAAAAACCAAATCAGTCACCCTTATGGATGTGGCAGGGCAGCTCAGACCATACCGGTAACCGACAGGGCAGTGCTGAGGGGACGTCACCTTTGTAACTTCCATCTGGAAGAAAGGAGAGGAACTGTACTGCTAGAACGGTGATCTGTGACGGTGCCAGAGAAAGGGAGGAAGTGAAACGCAGCCAGATAGATCCTGCATTGTTCTTTAAGAATTAATCTCTAGGGAGCAATTTGGGAGAGGTGCTTGACTTGCCAGGCAGGAGGCTGCTGGAAAGGGGGGACGACTCTGTATCTACACTGCTGAAACATCACATCTGAGTAGCATCAACCCATCTATGAAATAAATACAGCAGTGGCTCCCCAAAGTCTGCCAGTCTCATCCACAAGTCTGAGCTAACAGGAACAAAGCACAGGTTGGGAATTCTCCTCAGGGGCCCCAGAGGAATGATGCCAGATCCTTGCACATCCCACCCAGCCAGAGGCAAAGATGCACGTCCTGATCACTGCATGGGCTGTAGAGAAGCTGGAAAGGGTTAAAACTATCGCCAAGCCCCAGTCCTCTGTGAAGAGGAGGAGATGGATAAAAGCTAGCCCCCAAGCTCTGACTTACCGCTGAATAGGCAAGTAGTTTCAGGTTCTGGTGAGCAGAAACATTTGCTGCTTTGGTTAGGTTTTTCCTTATGTGATCCAGCAGGACCCCTGAGGAAAGGGAGCAGCCGGTAAGAGGTCAAAACTAGACAAAGCAGCATGAAGCTCCCTCCCCGGTGCACTCACCGCCTTGCAGACGAGCTTTTTCTACCCGACTGTGGATCCCAAACAGAAATTCAAAACCAAAGTCTTTTAGTTGCTTCAACTGAGTCATGACATCTGGTGTCACCCATACAGGCAAATCCATTTTGTGTGCTTGCTAAAAAGAGAAACAGAATACTCATCTGCAGGTAGCACGGATCGCAGATTATTCAGAGAATGGGAGTCAGGGTGCCTGGAGTCCTGCCCATACTGCTCCTATTTCCTATATTATTTTAAATATGCCCCTTTTCTCTTTATGTTTCTGTCCTCACACTGCTGTGCTGCACACAAAGAATATATGTGGGTTTAATGTTGTTTCAGAAACTAATAATGTGAAGCATAAAGACTAAAGTCTAGGAGCTACATTTCTGTGGAAGCACAACTGGAGTGCAGGGTTATGTCGTAACACCGGTACCAGAATCTTAGGGCATTTACTTTACGTGTGGCTGATTCTGCCCCGCAGATGGCATGCAGTCAAAAAAAAAAAAAAAAAAAAAAAAAAAGGTAAGTGAGAGAGCACAAACTGAAGGTTTCTGGTGTACCTGCAGCAGAATTTTCCCAGAGGCTCTGAGGGCCACTGAAGGATATTGGAGAAAGTTAGCAAGCGCTCTGCAGGCGTAATGCTGGGATGCACCACTGACAAAGCCCAGTACTCAAACCCAGAGTACACAGAACTGGGAACCAGGAGAAGAATTTGCTTTGCAGCCAACCCATTACAAGAAAGGATTAGTTATACTGGCAGGCAAACAGCAGTTGTGGTTCCCTGGCGTTACTCGGAGCAATTTTCTATGCCACATCCCATTAAACTGCCAGAAGATGAGGCTGAATATCCTTAAGGGCCCATTTTGGCTGAGTGGTTTGGAGAAATTCCCATCAGCAACTTAGATATTTAGTTAGTTCTTCATTATTTTACAAAGAGAATAGCTCGTGAATTCAGCTGTTTCTTGGACTTTTTTATTTTCTCCATCCAGATAGCAGAATGAATCTACTGGCTCAGGTAAGAAAAACAATCCTACTCTTCAGGGTGCTGTTAGTAAGAGCGGGAAAAAAGGAGGAAGCCCAAAGCAGCTGAAGAGACTGATCAGCCTGAGGGTACAGTTTTGAGGGTAAAACTCCCTCAAAACGTTCTGGTTTCATTTTGCAACACTGAACTATTCTCCAAGTTCTTGGGAATTATAGTGGCTGTCAGCTGGCCTTCCGGGCCCAATCTGCAAGCTCATTAAGTGAGTCTTGAAAATGAAGAAGATCTGAAATTCTTGATCTCGCTGACCAAAGGATTTTTTGTTACCAACAGAAGTTGCTTCACTGTGACCATTAAAAGACAGGAGATTGGGTTTGTGATACAAAGGGCAAATTTACATAGTGCAATGCAGCTCTGGACTGGAATATTCTCAGCTTGCAGCAACTCAAGCTGCTACTTTACATAGCAAAGTGCAATTCCATGCAGATTTATCTTGTACATCCTCAAAATAGTACATACCACTGTATACCACTGCCAGCAAGCTAAGTAGCCTTGCACCTCCACAGAATTAGCATGACACAGTGTCAAAATGCTTGGCTTTACTGCTTCTTCCACAATTAGCTAGTTTGACATGAAAGATCTCTATAATTTACTTCATCATGCTGTATAGTTATACACAAATAAACTTGTGTGCAACAACTGTAAGTCTCCTGGATACGTGACCTTTACTTTAGCATTACCACAGTACAGCTAACCCGATTTTTGGTTTTGTTTAAGCCTTCGTGAGATGTGCTTTCAACAAAACTCGACATAGAGTCGACACAGAGTTTGGTGCCCCACCCCAGATAGCAGAAGGGTCACATCTGTCTCTAGAGTCTCTCTCTGGCAAAGGTCAAAAACCAGATGTGGGTGAACCCCACTTAACCGAGAAGAGCATTATTTTCTTTTAGAGATGGCATTAACAGAAGCACAGAAAGAAAAGTGATTGACCTAAGTAACAGAGAGGTACAGGTAAAACCAGGAATAGTCCTAACTGAAGCTCCCGACTTAAATCATAAAGTTAACGCTCCTTCAGTTTCCAGAGATCTCATTTCTGCCTTACTTAACTCAGACTCATCCACAGAGATCTAAAGATTTCAGATTGCAGTCATTTTCTAGTGACTTTCAAAACAGATATTTATTATGCAGGTGGGACTTTTTCTGGCTGTGGCACAATATATATCTAAGCTACAAAGTGGGAGGTTACAGGGTGCAAAAGTAGGTAAGTCTTGGCACATGCCTCTAGTGAGTAAGAACTGTTATTATTCTGAAATTAGACCATTACTTCTACCTGTAGGGTGGGAATGGTGACAAGTTGTTTTACGGGATTTTGCAAAATAATTTTCTACCAAATCCAGTGCGCCCTAAAGACCAAATTCCCACGGCTGTAAGATGACGGCCAAACTTACTTCACAGAACAGCGTGTCATACACACTCCAAACAGACTCGAGAGAGACATCCCGCATCCCAGTCTCATTCGCCACCATCTTCAGGAATTGCTGTAGGTATGAGAAAAGAGAAAGGCCTTCAATTTTCTAATCTCATACTGTATTACATGCACAGGTATTCCCACCCTTTTCTCAGAGCTCTGATTATATAGAGGTGATAATACTTTAACTACAAGCCTAAGACCATCTTATCTCATGCAAACAGTCACTTACCCAACTCTCTTTGGTCTTATTTATGTATTCTGCCGAGTGCCGTGTTTCATTCTGCAGCTGTTCATACCGTGGACAGGGGGTCAAAGGAAACTTCAGTAGCTGGGCAGAGACAACGAGAGCAGCTAGGTCACCGAGAACGCTGAAGTATAGAATTTGCAGTCAACACACGCATCTGTAATGAAACCCTGACTAGCAGGATGCATCTATAAAGAGCCTCAAGTACTGCCTTCTAACAAACTCCAGATCGTGTGTGGTCTGCTGAGGTGTTGCAGCTAGCACGTTGAGTGAACACAGCCCCTGAATTCTCGTCTTGTTCTGAGAAGAACCTTTGCAAGGTAGGTCCCAGGAGAAGTTCAAGACAATCTGAACTGAGACTGAAGCAAAGACTTTTGGAGAAGTCAGCGTAACACACAATTGGAGTAGTCGGTACATATCCTTGAGATGGACTTACCCTTTCCTCGAACTCAGGCACCGTGTGCACAGGGATAGGCTGCCAGGAGATGTTAGGGTTGAACATCTGTTGTCCCTCCGGGGGATAAAGGCCTGCAAGATTGGCCTCCGCACTCATCAGCGTCCGATCACAGTCTGTGCTGCGGATGAAGATCTGCCAGGACAGGGACAGCGCGCCATTAGAAACGCTACCGTAAGCGGCGATGCTCGGACGCAGGACGATGCGCTCGCTGAGGAACGTTGCCAAGTGCCCTGCAGCTGCTCGTGGATAACAGGATAACAGGAGCTGAAGTGACCCAGCCTGCTGATGTCAACCGGGACAAAACTGTCAAGGACAGACACAGAGACAATTTGGCACGTAATACTGGAGCAGTCTGTTCTGGGTAAGTGGGATAGCCAGATGCACTGTGCGGGGATTACAGACAGAGAGGAGTCTGAATATGAGGAAGAGCCAGAGAAGAGCAAGACAGAGATGCAGATAACGATGGCCACAGCTAGGAAATGCACCATATTTACAGAGCAGGACTGGGGCAAACTCCTGCATTCAATTCTCAGTTCTAGGAACGACCTGCTGTGCTTGTGAAAAAAACTGGCTTCTCCAAGCCTCAGTTTTTCCACCTGAGAAACAAAGACAAGAATGATCTGACTAACAGGAGAGGAAGAAAAGGGGGAGCTGGGATTTTATTTGATCATCGTGGGGTCTTGGGAATAATGGGCCACGACTTAATCATTCCAGAGCTCAGAGAGAGATATTTGACCCAGAAAAAAGAGAAAGGAGAAAAATACAGAAAAGTTCAGAGCGTCAAAATGGAAAAACTTTGGTATCTGTGTACTGAAAACACTTACGGGGAGACTGGAAAGAAACCAGTAACAAAACAAGAGGAACATATAGGAAATAATGAAAAAATGTGCTAAAAACCAGCATATTGAATCTGAAACAAGAAGAATAAAAAGCCAGAAAGATGAAGTACAATGTCAAGATTGGGATTTTTTTTTTTTAAATAAGGAGAGAGAAACATAAGAAAAAATACACATGCCGGCTCTGTATAGCATCTCCCACGTGAAGTGTATCTCAAAACTCAACAGTCATGAGAGGGAAAAAAAAAAAAAAAAAAAAAAAAAAAAAAAAAAAAAAAAAAAAAAGTTGTCTTTTCTCTGACAATTCCTACCCACTTTTAACTGTGGCTTGAAAAAAACTGACCCTGTACTAATGAGACTCATGAGATTACTTTAATCCTCAGTAAGCTCTGAAGAAATAGAAAGGAAATATTTTAAAAGATAAGTATCTAATTTAAAAGTGGAGTAAAAAACAATTAAGCCCTGAGCGTACTTGTTTTCTTCAGCACCTTTTGCCAGGGCTCCAGCTTGTCGCTGAGTCAGGTGACAGACTGTCATATGGTGTCACCCAGAGGCAACACTTCTTATACAGGGAGGTTGCTCAACCGGAGCAGGGGTTCAGGCTTGGTTAGCAGAACAGCTTTTGTTTGCATATGCCTTGGTTTGTTTTTCCTTCTCAAGCAAGAGAAGGAAAACAGTTTCAGCTCGTATAAGCTCTATAAGAGTGAAGTATGTTTGGAAAGGAACTACTGAGGAAGGTTAAAGGATCTGTGTTTGAGCTGATGCCGGAGGTTTTGTTGACAAAGCAAATGTCAAAGAAGGGATGTAATTTGAACTATGGCAACCTGGGTATTTACTGGGGAGCCCAAAAGGGGGGGAAACAAAGACAGAAAACTGTACGGGGGTTCTCACTTCGCCCCGTCTGGTCAAGCACCCAAAGTGAGCTCAGATAAAATAACTGAACCAATGCAGAGCCAGTGGTGGGACAAGGGGGTCTTGACTGCCCGCTGTCCATCCGAACCACCTGACAGCGTGCCTCTCATCGTGACGCTTGCTCACGTTCCAGTTGACTCACACCTCTTTGATCGGCCAGCAGGGCTATTTGGGGGGGATTTTCTCTTTCCTCACTTTTTTTGATCTTTCAAATTTTCCCCTGTGCTTAGCACATGGTTCCACAAGGGCTCCGTAACTTTTTGTAAAAGAAACCTACCAGTTTCTCAAGAACCATTATAAAGTGTGGCAACGTCCTGGAGGGAGAGAGCAAAATTAATAGCTTTGGGGGCCTGAAGCCATCGATACTGTACAGGTGGAAAGAAACGAGAGGGTCACTTCTGGTGAGTAACTACTGCTGGTATGTACGGCCTCCCGTGAGGCTGTAGCTGAGGTGCCCCGGGGAGGGCAGGGCAAACACGGGCTGCCTTCTTCTCAGCTGGTGTGACAGGAAAAAATAAAACCTCACAATCTCGAGTGAGAAACAAGCAGCAGCTCCAGCGCAGCAGCATCCCTGCGTTGCTGCCCCGACTTCAGGGCTGCCGGCGGGGACAGCCTGACGGGGTGCTGGATCGCCCCGGCCCCCGCGG